TTTTCAGGATACATACACATTCTTCACTATATTCGTGATGGACATTGCCTGGGTATGCAGCCGTTGTGCAGCCTTTGGCCGGGTCAGCGAAGCACCAGCGCAGCATGCCCAGGGAATCCTGTTATATATTACATGCCTTTGCGAGACAAATGGAATATGACAAAAGCAATAAAACAAGTCACTATACTTGAGGTCTGTGACTCATCTCCATCACTGCTGTGTTATTTTCCTTGAAGGTACTGAATGTAGGATAAAACAGCTTGGTTGGACTTGTTAATAAACATTCACTCACTCACGAGACTTTGCGTACAGATAGATGAGGCTGCTTCAACCTGGGTCCTAGGGTATGCAGCCATTGTACAGTCCTTATAATGTTAGGGTACAGTGACTCACAGTAATCACAGTCACTGAGTCGGGTCACCTGATATACTTTTAGCATCTTTACACCACAAGCAGCAGCTGGGGAACTATTCTAATGAACACTGTTAGGGTACAGTGACTCGCAGTAATCACAGTCACTGAGTCGGGTCACCTGATATACTTTTAGCATCTTTACACGACAAGCAGCAGCTGGGGAACTATTCTAATGAACACTGTTAGGCAGGTACGGTGACTCACAATCATCAGTCACTGAGTCGGGTCACCTGATATACTTTTAAGCATCTTTACGACTGACTAGCAAGCTGGGGAACTATTCTAATGAACACTGTTAGGGTACAGTGACTGCAGTAATCACAGTCACCTAGAGTCGGGTCACCCGATATACTTTTAGCATCTTCAGCGACCGACTAGCAGCAGCTGGGGAACTATTCTAATGAACACTGTTAGGGTACAGTGACTCACAGTAATCCACAGTCACCGAGTCGGGTCACCTGGATATACTTTTAGCATCTTTACACGACCAGCAGCAGCTGGGGAACCATTCTAATGAACATCAAGTTAGGTACAGTGACTCGCAGTAATCACAGCTCACTGAGTCGGGTCACCTGATATACTTTTAGCATCTTTACACGACAAGCAGCAGCTGGGGAACTATTCTAATGAACACTGTTAGGGTACAGTGACTCACAGTAATCACAGTCACTGAGTCGGGTCACCTGATATACTTTTGGTATTCTTACATGTGTAACAGGAGGATCCTGTTTCGGGTCCTCAGGTCGGCAGCATTCAGGGGTTGAAAGTCACAATGACAACCATTTAACGCAAGATTTTGCAAACAATGTCCCAATCCTAAAAACAAGCCTAATTTCTACTAAGAAAATAACCCTACCATTAAACTCCACCTTCTTAAGATCTTTGAAAAAAAACAACAACAAAAAACAAACAAAAAACCCAACGGGATTGATAATTTGCCCTTTCTTATTTACCATGTCCACTCTTCAAATTCAGGAAAGAAACAGTCCTGGGCATAGGAATGAACAAGGGGAGGAAGAGGTACAGTGATTCAAAGTAATCACAGCCACTGAGTTGGGTCACCTGACATACTTTTGAAGTATTCTTCCTCCTTATAGAGGCGGTGGAGTAGCCTTGACCAGTGTGCAGTTCGCCTCGTCACGCCGAAGACCCTGGTTCGAATAATTCACATGGGTACAATGTGTGAAGCCCATTTCTGGTGTCCCCCGGGCCGTGATGTTGCTGGAATATTGCTAAAAGCGGCGTAAACCCCAACTCACTGACTCACTAGTATTCTTACTTGAAAAACAGCAGGCTCCTGGGGAAACTATTCTAATGAAGACCCCGACTGGGACTAATTATATACTAATCAGTGTTCAAAGATATGTTTTGTTTGTTCTAGGAAACTGGATTGAATTCAAAATGACCCTGGAATCTGAAAAGTTATGTGTGGAACAAACTAAGATATTTTGAAGGATGGAAACTTCCACAGATACTGTCACTTCCACAGAGGCAAGACAGCAGCAGGGGGGACAACCCACAACAACACAGATACCAGATGGCGGTGTGGCTGGACCTTATACAGATACTGTCACTGCCACAGAGGGAAGTCAGCGGCAGGGGAGACAACCCACTACGACACTGACACCAGATGGTGCTGTGGCTAGTACTACCACAGGTACTGTCACTGCCACAGAGGGAAGTCAGCAGCAGGGGAGACAACCCACTAAAACACTGACACCAGATGGCACTGTGGCTAGACCTACCACAGGTACTGTCACTGCCACAGGAGGGAAGCTCAGCAGCAGGGGAGAAACCCACTACAACACTGACACTGGTAGATGGCACCGTGGCTAGACCCACCACAGTGTACCGTCACAGCCACAGAGGAACAGACAGCAGCAGGAGAAACCCACCGCCACAACACTGGCACCTTCGAGGATGACGCTGTGGCTAGACCTACCACAGATACTGTCACTGCCACAGGGAGCAGGTCAGCAGCAGGGGGACAACCCACTACAACACTGGACACCAGATGACGCTGTGGCTAGACCTACAGAGACCTACTGTCACCGCCAGAGAGGAAGTCAGCATCGGGCGGGACAAACCACTACGCTAACACTGGCTACTGGATGGCGCTGTGGCTAGACAACATACTCTCCGCCACAGAGGCAGGTCAGCAGCAGGGGGGACAAACCACCACAACACTGACACCAGATGGCACTGTGGCTAGATCTACCAGATGTTCTCACCGTTACAGAGGCAGGTCAGCAGCAGGGGTACAACCCACTACAACACTGACAATCAGATGGCACTGTGGCCAGACCTACCACCAGATACCTCACTGCCACAGAGGCAGGTCACAGCAGCAGGGCTACAACCCGATTCGCCAACACTGACACTAGATGGCACTGTGGCTAGATTCCACAGATACTCACTGCCAGAGGGCAGGTCAGCAGCAGGGGGTGACAACCCATTGCCAACACTGACACTCAGATGGCACTGTGGCTAAGACTCACCACAGATAATGGCCACCGCCACAGAGGGAAGTCAGCAGCAAGGGTACAATCCTTAACGACCACACACACAACTGCCTCCACTGGGTGGAGGCTGTTTGCAAAACTTTGCATTTGTATTTCTCAAGCAAAAGGGAAGGGGGTCGTGTGTGTGTGTGTGTGTGTGTGTGTGTGTGTGTGTGTGTGTGTGTGTGTGTGTGTGTGTGTGTGTGTGTGTGTGTGTGTGTGTGTGTGTGTGTGTGTGTGTGTGTGTGTGTGTGTGTGTGTGTGTGTGTGTGTGTGTGTGTGTGTGTGTGTGTGACGAAAGCACCAAATGTTCACCAAGCTTAATCCCTTGCTTGTATAACAATCCTATGATCTTGTGTTTCACATTGAATATTTACATTGATTTATTATGTATTTTGGGCTGCCAGAATCAGACCCGTGCTTTTAGGTTTTACTAAAGTGGTTCACATCTGAGTCTCTGACTTTTACCATAAGTGTGGTAACATGGAAGACTCCCCTTTACATCCTTATCTCCCACACATCAGCGTGGAGGGCTGATATTAACAAATGACAAGTCTGATAGAGATGTCTAATTTCAATGGTTTATAATGGAGTTCGTTTTCTTTAACCTTGTAGGTTGTTCAGTTTCACATTGTGACATGTCCAACTCCCTCCAACATTGCAGTCGGAGACAGCGGACATCGAGGCTGTATATCACAAAGGTGGGATAAATCTAGATAACTACCTGATGTTTTTAAGTGGCCAGATCGCTACAACGACCTGCTGTTTGGTCCTGAAGTTGTTCGATCAACAAGGTTACAACATCCATCTAAGTTTCAAAAAGTTTTATGGAAGATATGAAGAGAACATTTCAAATGTCTGTTGCATAAATAAGCTAAAAGCAACCCACTGTACATAAAATGACCCACTGTAATAAATGACCACTGATGTATATAAATGACCCGCTGTATATAAATGACAAACTGTATTATCATGACCTGCTGTATATAAATGACCCGCTGATGACCTATATAAATGACCCAATGGTATTAAATGACTCTGTACATAAATGACCCTCTGTACTAAATGACCCGTTGTATATAAATGACCCGCTGTATATAAATGACCCACTGTATATAAATGACCAGCTGTATATAAATGATCCACTGTATTAAATGACCCCCATACATAAAGGACCTACTGTATTAAATGACCCGTTGCATATAAATGACCCGCTGTATAGAAATGACCCGCTGTACATAAATGACCTGCTCTATATAAATGACCCACTGTATCAATGACCTGTTGGATAAAGACCGCCTGTATATAAATGACATGTTGTACATAAATGACCCACTGTACATAAATGATTCTCTGTGTGTAAATGAGCTGCTGTATGTAATTGACCCACTGTACATAAATCACCCGCTGTATTAACTGACCTGTTGTACATAAATGACCCACCGTATATAAATGACCCGCTGTATATAAATGACCTGTTGTACATATATGACCCGCTGTATATAAATGTCCTCCTGTATTTAAATGACATATTGTACATAAATGACCCGCTGTATTAAATGACCTGCTGTATATAAATGACCCTCTGTATCAATGACTTGTTGGATAAAGACCGCCTGTATATAAATGACCTGTTGTACATAAACGACCCACTGTACATAAATGACCCGCTGTATATAAATGACCTGTTGTACATAAATGACCCACTGTACATAAATGACAAGCTGTATATAAATGACCTGTTGTACATAAATGACCCACTGTACATAAATGACCTGCTGTATATGAATGAACCACCGTATAAATGACCCACTGTATCGATGGTAAATTCAGCTGTATAATTTACCTGCCTTATAAATGATCAGCTGTATAACTGACCTAGCGTATAAAGGACTCGCTGTATAATTGACCCTGCTGTATAATTGAATTGGTGCATTTAAATGACCCGCTGTATAACTGAACTGCCTTATAAATGATCCGATGTATAACTGATCTGCCTTATAAATGACCTGCTGAATAATTGACCTGCCTTATAAATGACCCTCTGTATAATTGACCTGCCTTATAAATGACCCCATGTATAACTGACCTACCTTATACATGACCTCCTGTATAATTGACCTGCCTTTTATATGACCGCCGTATAATTGACCTGCCTCATCAATGGCCAAATGTATGTAAATGAGCTTCGGTGGATCTTCCATGCTGACCCAATGTTTAGTCATATTGATTATCTGTAAAAATACCGGCAGTAAATAGCATTATCTGTGGTATTCAGAATTATATTGAATTCAGAATGGTCCAAAATTTCTCAAACTTTGAATTTCAGTTTAAATTTTATGTTTGTCCTCATTTCCTCCAGAGAGTCTCAGCATAAGGATCAACCAGCTCAGTAATATGTTAGTGCAAACCCGTGCTCTTCACAAGACTACTGCTGCTCTAAGGATCTGTGAAGCGTATATGAAGAAAAACTATCAAGTATTGTTTGCTGAAAATATTGAAGAGTTTGACATTGATGTCGTCATTAAGCGAAAGTGTGACATGTTGGTTGTGTTTGATGATATCTTTGGTTCTGTTGTATTTCCCAGCAGTTTGGAGAAATTACGTAAAGTGTTCAATGCCTTGGTTGATATTTTATTTCACTTATCAAGAGACGAGGAGCTAGCAGCCGAGAAAGAAAAAGAGAGGAACATTAACAAAGGTATGAAAAAGGAAGCTGAAAAGCAATGTGATAACGAAACGACCAAAACATACCAGGTTCGCTTCATTTTCACATCCAGGAACTACAATTGGAATGAGGGATGTGCAAGACTACATCAGTTCAAAGTAAATCTGTTTAAACATGAAACCATTGTTGATATGATCAAGACATGTTTAACCATTGAAGAAAAGAAACAGATCATGACATTGTTCAGGACCAGAAGCCGAATCTGCAGTATCTCCGATAAGGACATGAAAACTGTTACAGAGTTAAAAGACAGCATGTTTGGATATCCTTTGACCTGTAAACTGTACTTCACGAACCCAATGTTCCAGATGCACAGTCTTGGGGACTTTTTCCTGAAACCAGTGACATACCTGAGAGGTGACCTTGACACCATTGTCCGTGAAGGCAGCAGCAGATCGGCTGCTCTGATTCTCCTGGTCCTGTGTGGAGGGAAACTGGACCTTGCCTCCTTGATGTGTGGGACGGACAAGCAGGTCACAGATCTGTTTCATGTTGTAAAGGAGAAGGTAGCATCATGCACTGATACAGACATAGAGAGAGAGATAAGCAATTTTACCGGCACCTACTGTGTCGTGGAGAATCATGTAGCCTCCTTTTCACATCCAGCCATCCATGATGCTGCCGCATGTGCTTTTGGGAATCTCAACAGTGTTCTATTAGTAAGACACTGTTCCCTTCAGTTTTTGTATGAAAGGGTTAGACCAAGTATGATTGATCCTCGACAGACAACCAAAGCTGATGATGTGACAAACATGATGTACATCACTTCTCGTCTTTACCCATTGATGATCGACAGGCTAGTGGAAGGTATCCGTGAAGATTGCTTCAGATGGACAGTAGGCCACCCTGTATTCAGAAACGATGAATTAGCATCCTCACTCATGACGGAACTGAAAAATGACTTGCCTCATATAGTCCACCGAAAGGACAACACATCTGGTGAATGTTTTCTATACTGGACTTCCCTGTCTAATAATGATTTACTGTTTAGACAGTCACTATTACTGATGAGTGAAAAGGAAATTCTCTCCCCTGAAAATGTCAAAGACCTGTATGAGAGTATTACAGGGTGCATAAAGGCTGGCAAGGTGGGGAATCTGCGACGTATAATTGATGTGCTAAAGCATCATGGAGAATATCATGCAGACAGAAGGACGGCGGCAGGCAAAACACTGCTCATAATTGCTGCAGAGGCTGAACAGTTGGATGTGTTCAACTTTTTTACTGCAAGAAGGAGCAGATGTTTTATTGAAGGACAGGAAAGGAAACAGTTGCCTTCATCATGCATGCATTTCAGGAAAAAGAGATATTGTGAAAGTTGTTGTTGAAAAGGTTCCAGGTATGATTGATAATTCGAATTTTCGAGGTCTTACATCTACAATGTTGTGTGCTGAGACAGGCCAGGAGGAGATCCTCAAGTTCCTGGTGTCATATGGTGCTGATCTCTCTGTTAAGACATTTGGGGGTCAGACGTGTTTGCATGTGGCATGTGCGAGTGGTCATTTATCAACCGTACAATATTTGTTGTCTTGTGAAACTATCGACATTAGTGAAAGAACAATATTAAACACAACGCCGATTATGATGGCTGCCGAAAAGGGACACTCTGATGTTTATCACCTTCTTGTGTTACGTGGAGCTGATGTGTTCCTGACTGATGACGAGGGCAAAGACTGTCTGATGTATGCATGTCAGAGAGGTAACATGTCTATAGTTAGGCACCTACTATCTTTGAAACCAATCAACATCAACGAGAGAGATCACAACAACATGACACCAGTCACGATAGCAGCGAAAGCCGGACACTCTGATGTTTATCACCTTCTTGTGTCAGATGGAGCTGATGTGTCACTTACTGATGATGTCGGCAGTGACTGTCTGATGTATGCATGTGAGGGAGGTAACATGTCTATAGTTAGGCACCTACTATCTTTGAAACCAATCAACATCAACGAGAGAGATCACGACAACATGACACCCGCCATGATAGCAGTTGAAGCCGGACACTCTGATGTTTATCACCTTCTTGTGTCAGTTTGAGCTGATGTGTCGCTTAGTGAAAACAAGGGCAGAGACTGCCGAAATGTATTGTATTGTACGAGATGTTATGGACTGGTAACTTTGTCTTCACAAACAATAATCTCCAAAGGAATCGTCATTGAACAGTGAAATTGAAATTATGATTGTATTCGTGTCTCATATTAAATTAACTAAAAATCTTATATATTTTATTAACAAGTATGCAATTGTTTGTGCACATTTCAGGAACTGAGGATCACAATCAAACGGAATTCTCTCTTTCAGAAATGTCCAGACTAGGAAATACTCAAAACACGATTTTCAGTTTTCATATTTGTGTTGTAAGCCGTTTGTTGCTACCGTCCGTACATTTTGATAATGTAACTATTTGTAGCCAGAGTTTACACAATTTTGTGGACAATTCCAGTAATTCTCCAATGAACCAATCATAAGTGGAATGGCACCTACCTCCAAACAATTTGTCTAGAATATTCGGTGATTTGGTGTAAGTCCTCCATGTATGTGAAAAGTGAGTGAGTGAGTGAGAATGATTCATTATTTCTGAACCTCACATTTGTTCCAATATATTTTAAGTGTTATGTCTCTTTGAGATCGTTGTAGGTTTGCTTGTAGTGAATGTTGGAGGCAGGAAAACACTGAAACGGTCGTGAAATATTGAGCATTATTACTGAGTGGCCAATCTTCACCACAGGTGTGATTTGGGAGTTACCTCCCCTGGCATACAAGATTTGATCATTCCAGAAGTTGTTTGATGTGTCTGTTCGAAGATGGTGGGCTGTATAAGGGGGACAGAATGGCGATGTGAGGCTTTTAATGATCTGAATTATCTCTTTGCCAAGGGAGAGACAAGTTACCTATCTGAACAGCTCAAATACCTAACAGTTTTAAGGAACACTTCATTTCCACCAGCAGAGTATGGGGAAGCCGTCAAGGCTGAGCGGGTTAGGCGGCTGACTTTGTGTGCTGGCCTTAAGGTGCCTGGCTCTGGGGGTGTGAGTTCGAATTCCGGATGGGACTCAACCCAGCAAAAGTACTAGAATCTGTACTTTACTGAGAAAGTGTATTCCCAAATATGACAAATGTTACATTTAAAACTTTCTAAGTGTGTATTCATTGTAGAGTGTGTGCCTCAGTCAAGACATCTGCAGTGATTGTCAGGAGTGCAGGTATCATCGCACCTGTTAGATATTGCTGCGTTCACTAATTTGAACCATTTGTATTGCCTTACTTGCTTCAATATATTATTTTCATTTTTCCTTGATCATGTTCAGTTTAGTTATGTGATTTCAGAGTAAACCCACTGTAGTAAAACAATACAGAACCCAACATGTTAATGAGTTACAATGACAGTTGTTGTCCATACGTTTTGTACAAGTTGCTGTTTTCCCTATTTATACTTGTCTTGGGAAACCGGCTAAATTGTTTATTGATTTTCATTTATAAACCTGTGTAAACTAGCTTGTTGTATTGTCGGAATCATACAATGTACAGTTAAGTATATAGTTATCATGTTGATGGGAAAGGTTTTAATGTATATTATTATTGGTAACGTTATGGAATTTAACAGTATTTTAGATCATTGTAACCAACATGGTCATAGTTCTGACAAGCATCAGCATGGGCAGAGACAGACCAACAGGAAAAACGTACTTACAAACATGGTCAGAGTACTGACGAACACGGTCAGAGTACTGACAAACACGGGCACAGTACTGACGAACATGGGCACAGTACTGACGAGCATGGGCACAGTCCTGACAAACATGGGCACAGCACTGACGAACACGGGCACGGTACTGACGAACACAGGCACGGTACTGAAGAACACGGGCACGTACTGACGAACACAGGCACGGTACTGAAGAACACGGGCACAGTACTGACGAACACAGGCACGGTACTGAACAACACGGGCACAGTACTGACGAACACAGGCACGGTATTGAAGAACACGGGCACAGTACTGACGAACATGGGCACAGTACTGACCACTGAGCATGGCACGAACCAACATAGGCACGGTACTGACAAACATGACCACGATTGTACCGATAAACATGGACAGATTGTGTGTTTGTGTGTATATACTTTTTGCATGTATTTTACATATGTTTATGTATATAATGTTGTAAGCAGATAATGTATTCAGATGAGAAGCACGGCCATGGTACTGACAATAGCGAGCACAGCACTAACCAACATGGGCGGGTACTGACAAACATGACCACCATTGTACCAATGAACATGGACATATTGTGTGTTTACTTTTTGTATTTTACATATATGTTTATGTATATAATGCTGTAATGAGATAATGTATTCAGATGAGAAGCACGGTCATGGTACTGACAATGGCGAGCACAGCACTAACCAACATGGGCGGGTACTGACAAACATGACCACAATGGTACCTATGAGCATGGACAGATACTGATGTTCATAAGGACAGTGCTGACTGACATGGGAACAGGGGCAGATACTGATGTTCATAAGGACAGTGCTGACTGACATGGGAACAGGGGCACATACTGATTTTCATAAGGACAGTGTTGACCGACATGGGAACATGGGCAGATAGTGATGTTCATAAGGACAGTGTTGACCGACATGGGAACAGGGGCAGATACTATGTTCATAAGGACAGTGCTGACTGACATGGGAACATGGGCAGATAGTGATGTTCATAAGGACAGTGTTGACCGACATGGGAACATGGGCAGATAGTGATGTTCATAAGGACAGTGTTGACCGACATGGGGACATGGGCAGATACTGATGTTCATAAGGACAGTGTTGACCGACATGGGGACATGGGCAGATACTGATGTTCATAAGGACAGTGTTGACCGACATGGGAACATGGGCAGATACTGATGTTCATAAGGACAGTGTTGACCGACATGGGGACATGGGCAGATACTGATGTTCATAAGGACAGTGTTGACCGACATGGGGACATGGGCAGATACTGTTGTTCATAAGGATAGTGTTGACTGACATGGGGACATGGACAGATACTGATGTTCATAAGGACAGTGTTGACCGACATGGGGACATGGACAGATATAGAGATTACTAAACGAGTGTCTGTCAGATATCATTTATCTTACAACGAGTTGTTTCAAAACGTATTTAACGAGCGAAAGCCTGACTGTCTGACAGACACGAGCACAGTAATCTATTTTTTACGCACCATTTTATGGTCGAATATATTCAAATTTCCTATTTTCTTCTCGTAGCTGTGTAATAATACCATACAACGTTTAAACGAATAGCTTTGACTGCTCACTTCATTGTTGTTGTTTTCTAAATTACCTTTGCCAGCCTCTGTGACGATGCACATGCCTACGGCGTAAATATGCCATACTACTGTATTGTTTCAATTTTGCTGATACCTAAAGGTCATTGTGAAACATTGCCGCGGGTCTTACCCCAACAGGTTTGACTGCATGTTCCTTGCATATAAATACTGCGGTAGCATCCGCATAGGTTCACTCTTGAACTGCAGTCACACTTGTTGGTCATATTTTGTTATTGTTTAGGTAAGACCTTGCATTATATTTTTCATGTGTTACTTGACTTGCATTTAATGTATGAAAGGTTACTAAATAGATTTTAACTTATATGTAACGTGTATGTAACGCTTGTCTATGCAACAAGCATACTTAATAAGTTATATTTTGACATTGCAGAATAAGTTAGATCAGAAATACTAGACTTTGACATGTATATGTAACTTGCTGTTTCATAATATCATTTAGGTAGTTCTGTTTATGTAATTGTAATATACCTCAGGTATAAATGTAATCTATAACCATGTTGTCAATTTCTCAAATATGTTTTTACGCCGCTTTTAGCAATATTCCAGCAACATCACGGCGGGGGACACCAGAAATGGGCTTCACACATTGTACCCATGTGGGGAATCGAACCCGGGTCTTCGGCGTGACGAGCCAACGCTTTACCCACTTGGCTACCCCACCGCCCCGTTTGATTATGAATATATACTAACGTCATTATTCTTGTCTTTACAATAAACACTCATGAACTGCAGTCAGGCTTGTTGGTCATATTTTGTTATTGTTTAGATTTAGATAACTAGTGAGATACAGGGAAACGGCCCGATCTCAATTCGAAGGGAATCCCGGTCTTTATCTTTAACGGCGATTTTCACATAATTGTTTTAATACACAGGTTTCACTGATTGTTCGAGAGATTTTGAATTCATGACTAGAAATCAAAAGTTTTAATAAAAGGAATTAGAAAATACATAGATTTGTGTTATATTTCTACAAATTCTGTTTCCATTGTATAAAGGGTTTTTTTTGGCACGAGTAACAGGTTTCTGTTCGATTGAAGCATGAGTAACTTATCAATGAATTATAATCAGGAAAGTAGTCCGTCATAACCTGACCCTAAGTCATCACCATGGAGTAGCCAATCACGACTGATATGGGAACATGGGCAGATATTGATGTTCATAAGGACAGTGCTGACTGACATGGGCATGGTATGGATCCAGTGATTGAGTATTGATCTATGCATCTGTGATATGTAAAAGTCAGGCCTGATACTGACAATCGTGAGCCTGGCACGAACCAACATGAGCATGGTAGCTATGAACATGGACAGATACTGACGTTCTTAAGGTCAGTGCTGACCGATACAGTGTTGGCGAATACAATTTGGGTGTTAACTTTATGTATTTTACATATGTTTATGTATATAATGTTGTAAGCAGATAATGTATTCAGATGAGAAGCACGGCCATGGTACTGACAATCGTGAGCACAGCACGAACCAAAATGACCATGGTACCTATGAACATCGACAGATACTAACGTTCATAAGGAGAGTGCTGACCGATACAGACATGACATGGATCCAGCGATTGAGTATTGATCTAGATACAATTTTGACACGATAACATGTCAGTCAAGTCACAACTTCTGATGCAAATAAATCCTCCATAAAAAATACCATCTGTGTTGTTCATGAATGCCCCTGGATACAAAACATGGGCACAGTATTGACCAACATGGTCTGATCCAGGATCACACAGGATGAGGGAGTCCGGGTGATCACTGAAAAATTAGAAACTAGGCCAATCACCATTCTCTTTAAAATCCTGACAGTTCCAAGTTACTTGTTCATCACGTTAAACCTGAGAAAATGAAAAACAATACAGAGACAGACTTCTTTGTTGGCTTTATTCACAAACAATCTTCATAATAAAATTTACTGACAAGCATTGATGATAAAAGATCAGTTACGTGAAATAAGCACCTTCTTTGACTTCAAAATTAACTGGCATTTTCGTGATAATAATTATTTCCAGAATGTTAGCAACCTTTATCTGTCTTAAAAAGTATCAAAACAAAGAAAATGAACCTGTTACTTCTAGCAGATTATTGGGTCATCTACCACATTTGACAATGGAGGAAAAGGGTCACCCATCACTGCCAGACTACAAACAGAAAACTGTGGAGATCCAGAGTTAGTGATACAAATGAAAACACGTTACAGTACAACTTGTGAACATTTGACATTTCCCGGCCCTAAATCAATGCCTTCTTCCTGGTTTGATATGTTCAACTTGACAAAACAATTATTTTAATTAAGCAACCTGCATGTCTAGAACTCAGACATGTTACCAATAAGCACACATGTTAACAGACAATGTTAAATATACAAGTACGCCAGCTTTAGCACATTGGATTAACATCATGACACTGGAAGAGGTTTGGAGTATCATGACACAATGTATGACATTTCATAAGATCGTAATTTATGTCAAAACCATGGAAGTAGCGTTACATCACACACAAAAGTATCATGTCACAAACTGACGTAAAGCATGAAGTTTTGTCACAACACATTATCCAAGTCATCGGACATGTTGACTAAAACATGACTGAATGCACAGAACATCTGATAATGCATCCTCTTTATCACCAAGGGCTTTCAGTAATCCTACACTAAACCTCTTGAGCCATTCCCATGGTCCTTGTTACCCACCCTCGGTTTTCATTGCCATTTTAGCAACCAATTTAACCTTGACATTAAGAACAGAGAAATGGAGGTAACTCATCACCTAGCAACCAACGCCACCAACTAGTAGTATTTGCCAGTAAGACATCCTTTCCATCAATTGATTTTCAATACCGAATTTCTCAAGAACTTCAAAATCAAAGGGACTGGCCTCTATGTTAATATTGTCAACCCAACATTGAGGCTGGTTTGTAAGTCACATTCTGTTGGGTATGTTAGAGATAAAAAATGGCAAAACGACATCAAGTGTGGGTAATTTGTCCTCATCAGAACCACAGAATGGATTCAGAGTTAGTGTAGGTTTATGGAAATAAAAGATATATGATTTGGGAGACAGAGGATGCTAACAATGTTTCAAGACATTATTCAATGCAATAACACGACACATGACTAACGGTTTATGCAAGGTGATCTGTTGTGACACAATGTTGTAATGATGTGATGCATCATGTGACCAAATGTACATAACACGCAACATGTAAAACTCCACAACCAGTCAAAGTTCATCATGTGCCAAATGCCACTATGAAGCTCAAATGAAGTACATGTTGAGAAAACCCAAAACGACAGTGATGACAGTCTTTACCAATCACGATGTATCTTAGATTTGTCTCTCGGAGATTTAATTTGTTGTTTACGCTGTCCTCAGCAATATTCCTGCCATATGATGGCCGTCTGTACATAATAGAATCTGGACCCGACAATCCTGTGATTGATATCACAGGCATCAGTCTATGTAATAGGACACCATGGAGATGGATTTAATGCTACCTTGAACAGTATTTCACTGAGTATATGTCTCAACGGAACCCGGTACAGATGCTGAACACTTTGACGAAACTGATGGGCAGATGTGACGCAGGCTAAACAAGGTTGACAAACCTGATATCTGAACATATCAAGCTTGAACCAGTGTGATATCCTAGGATGTTTCAGATTCTTCAACAAGGTGAAACCTCTTACTTAAGATACGTAGCGGGAATTCATTCTATGTTGGCGCTAAACTGCCATCATGGGTGGATACAGATAGATTGGTTTGTTCCTTCTTCATCAATCCACATTTTTCAGAGATGTTCACAGTGAAGTGTTGATATTAGTTTGTTCAATAGAAGGACTAATTACACCTGATACCAAAGTAGCTAACACCCCCCCACCCCCACCCCTCCAAAAGAACACCCTCAAAACAAAACAACCCAACAGATCAATAGCTCTCTTATTACGCAATACACCATCATCAATAGGATAAAACGTAATATTGTCTACTCATTCTATCATGTTCAACATGCAAACTAGATCTTATCTGCCCTGGGCTCACAACGAACCACTGTGTGCCTTCACTGTCAAAAACGGCCTTTGCGAATTCCACAAGCAACACAACATGAAAACAACATTAATTCAAACGTCACCTTATTAAAATCCTGTTTTCTTGGGATTAATGCTGTTTCCTGGTGATAAATGTTTTCACAATTTCTAGTACATCAAGGGCAAAGAATTAAAACATGATATTTTCCAGTTATCTTTGATGCAAAAATACATTGTATGGTAAAACAAATAGAAAGGTTTGGAAATGGATGGCATCATGTCAAAAGAAATACAAATAACTCATGCTGACTGTCATGACTTGTAGAAAATCTCTACTTCCTTCAAGGATGTCGGTTCCCCTCACAGCGGAAGTGTTGGGACAATGCAGGGCATGGACTTGGGGATACTCAATCATCAGCAGGACTTGGAGAACCACTCCTTTCTTTTTCGCTTCTTGTAGGGGATGCGGCTCTAGAGGCATCAGACTCACCCCGACCATCTTGCTCACCATTTGTTTGTTCCGACGATTTACTTTTAGAACGATTTCGGGATTTAGAGCGACTTTTAGACTTGCTGACCGATTTTTTTTCAGACCTGGAAACAGAAATGGACCATACCTAATCATGCTGTCAGCATTACCTTGTCTCTGTCCAAATAGTGAAAACACCTGGATGCTGAGGGTGTTTTTAACATACATCTTTACAAAGATACTGGATCTACATACGGCTGTAATAATTACATTGAGGTGCAGAATATTACATTTCCTATCCCATGGTGTAAAATAGAAAACAAACATGTATGTGGTTTGAAAAACACACACTGTTAAGCGGCCTTCACACGCCAAACTAAAATTTGACAACACATGTTGAAATTTCAAAAGTTGTCTAAGTCGCGTTTTCACACGTCAAACACATGTTGTTTAACTTACGTGTCATTTGAGCACCATGTTTCTATCGGTGTGGTCACGTGACAATTTCGTTCACTGTGATTAGTTGTTTCTAAACAACACGAGTTGACAACACTTCACACGTCACACTCGAGTTTGACAACACCGAAAGTTTGATGGAAAAGTTGGTTTCGCTCAAACACCAATCTCTATTCCAATTGTGCAAGTGTGAGTTGCTGTCTACCTGCAGCAATCCTCCGTCCAATTTTGTGAATGTTCAATGGGAGCCATTTCCGGGGAAAGAGACGACCATGGAAAAACGTTAATGTTGTTCTGAGCCAGATAATCCATCGACACCCTTGCCGTGTGAGGGCTGCAAACGTCACTGGCGTTGATGTGCCAAAATTGGCCACACATATGGCCTTTGGCAGTAGATTCTAGCAGCCCGAAGACGACACCTAATCGAATCGCTTGGCACTGCTCCCCTTGACCCAAGAACTAAGGATGCTGTTACTGTTGCTGCTTGAGTTCGGTTCCTTAGATGAGTGACCCGGATGAACAGATCTTGCGCATGAGTTGTCACTCGTTGCCGTCCGGTACGGGGATGATCAGCAGCAACCCCGGTTTGCTGATGACGTTGAGCAAGTCGTGTAATGGTGGTAAGATGACAGCCCAATTGTCTAGCTTCAGCGTTTTCAGAGCTACCTCCGTGCAACTTTCCAATGGCCATTCCCCTCTGCTCAGTCCTTAGTCTAGGCATCGTTTGTGTGGCGTGTACACCACCCAGCGTCAATACTGAACTGTTTTTTGACACAAATCTTTAGAAAGGATACCTCAGAGTGAAATGCATGCTTTTCATCCAGAACCGTCGATGCACGTGCTAAAATTATGGTTTTGCTGCACTGTTGGTGTGTTTGTGCGAATGGTTCGTATGGACGTCAAATTGCATGACATCATCTCATCTGTGATCATTACGTCACTTTACCATGAACGTTCCATAAACATGAACGCTTACCTTCATGAGCTTTCATATTTTTTAATCTTGCGTTTCTTTTGCTGTTCAGTATATTATAAAAAGCCCGCCACAACTGAAGAAACTTGATTTCCCTCTAGGGCATCAAGCAATGTCATATAGAAAAAGCAGAACAACTCTGCTATGTATAAGATGCCTCTTACAAAACCAGCAGGTTATATGACAGAGGCCAGATAAGCTGCGTATCCGGGTAAAATACGCATATAAAATTTCCAATTACGCATTGAAAAATAATTGTTGCGTACCAATTACGCATTTAAAATGTTAGATACGCAAAATGTTTAAAACAAATGCGTACGGAATATATTGATAAAAAAATCGCTTGCGTAAGGAAAAGGACATGGATTGCTATCAAGTTGTACTGTTAGTATAGGACTAGTGTTGTACTGTCAGTATAGGATGAGGGATTTTTTATGAAATCATTTCCATTATATTTAAGTTGGTTTTGATTAGGTATGACATAAGGTAGAACATACTTGCTTAGTAAACTTACTCAATGACATCATACTTAGGTGAGTAAAATGACTGAAATACGCACATATTTGAAAGCAGTGGGTAACGGAAAATGAAGTACCCACTCAACATTCATAATACCCACTTCAAAAAAATACAGTGGGTACAGTACCCACATGAGCTAAATCTTATCTTGAGCTCTGACATGAGACACATTCTAACTGAGAAGCCTCATGATGTCTGATACAGAGTGAGTGAGTTTAGTTTTACGCCGTTTTAGCAATATTCCAGCAATATCACGGCGGGGGACAACAGAAATGGGCATCACACAGTGTGCCCATGTGGGGAATCGAACCCGGTTCTTCGGCATGACGAGCGAAGCCCTTAAGCACTAGGCTACCCCACTGCCCCGGTATGATACAGAGTCCTTGTGATGAACACACAGAAAGGAAGATTCCTCACCTGCTTCGAGAACGACTCCGTGATGCTCTCCTCTTCTTGTCCCTGCTACGACTTCTGCTTCTGCTGCTCCGGCGACTACGTTTACTGCGTCTGTCACGGCTTCGGCTGCGACTTCGACTCCTCTTCCTCCTGCCTCTTGTCTTCGACTTCTTCGAGATCGGGATCTAGATCTGGATCGGTAGCTGGAAGGAGAAAAACTGGAGTCAGTTCACCATTTCACAGCTTGAATACTCAGATCTGGTGGAAAACTAATTCTTACCTGCATCTTAAAAGGGGATTCTTAGCACTACCAGTAGTATCATAACACTGATAAGTGACACAACACAGTCCTAACAACTTAGACTCCAGCCATACCACTACTGGTATATAAACCCAAAATATCAACCACAGCATATTCTACACAAAGAGGATATTTGGGCCTCATCCCAATGGCATACCAACACAAAAACAAGGACACTCGCACAAGCCCAATCCTGTCACAGATGAATCCTGTCACAGATGGATTTTGTGATTCCGCTATCATAGAGAAATTTCAATAAAATTTAACTGGCAGATATGAAATTGGAGAATTTGCATTTTCTTTACCAGCAGCCCTTTAATTTTAATTGTTTTCAAACTTTTCAACTCATTTTTTATTATAAAATAACCAAAAAATATTTAATATGAGATTCCAACATTAATCCTTCAGTAAAACAAAACTAGAATAAATCATTCTAAATTTAACACATTCCAGTGGCATTTATTACATGTATTACATAAACTATGTTTACATCGAACCATAAATAAACATAAGACACTATGCATATTCCAACTTGAATATCATGGCTCTATCACTGCATTGTCAATGACATAACACAACAGACAATGTCTGGAGTTACCTCCCCCTTCTCCTCCTTGGTGATGGTGACCTGTATCGACTGCTTCTACTTGACCTCCGTGGTCCGAAGGACCGGTCATCAGGACAATCTCGGGCCCAGTGTCCTGGACGGTGGCAGCGGTAGCACTCATCATATCCCTGGCAAGAAATAACGTTTTCATTTTAAAAATCAGGGAATGAACAACACGAATTTTGTTTCAAGTCAGTTTACAGATTTTAATGTCATAAACCATTGGTCGAATAAGAACATTTCAATGTTCTTCGATGTTCTCTTTGCAAAAAAACAGAAAGAGTTGGCAGGAAGATAGTATGTTAATCCTGAGTACCAGAGTACAGTAGCTCACCTATATGCAGTTGTACACAACTGAGGATGTGCTGAACTGACACATGCTAACTAAACACCCACAACAGCTCAGAAATATAGTTGCACACAACAACTGCAGTGATAGAGTAAGTGAGTGAGTGACAATCAAGTGATCAACATCATGAGCATCGATTTACACAACTGAGACACGATGACATGTGTCAACCAAGTCAGCGAGCCTGACCACCCGATCCCCGTTAGTCGCCTCTTGAGATAAGCCTGGGTTACTGAAGATCAATTCTATCCCAGATGTTCACTGATGTATTGATAAAGAGATGCCATCACTTTCAGGAACCATTTAAAACTGATCTGATTAAATGGAGCCATTTTTATGTCAAACATAATTTGAGTTTCCAAAGACATAATAAAGCCACTTACATAGCGCTAAACTCCACGCTGCACGGGCATATTCTAAACACATACAGCATAATGGACATTATTAGCCCAGTTAACCCAAGCTGCCTATGAGGCGCTAGAATGTTAATAGTCACATCACTTATACCACCGGGTACCAATTTTCCGTTTGGTGAGCAGAGGCAATTATAAAAAAACTCACTTGCCGAACGTGACACCACATTGTGTCACATGTGGATTGTTGTGGAGCAGGACTGAAGTCCTGAAAACTCTCGGGAGTCAAGATGCCAAGCATGGTGACCTATCCAAGAATTCTCTGTGACCAACATTGCTTTACTCTAACTGAATTGTGACCTGGGCTCTATGCACAAGACCACCAGGACGTGCACGATACAAGTTTTCATGAGGAATGTGTTTGTTGTTTAACACATATACCAACGGCAAAGGAATAATTAATTCTGGACCAGACAATCCACTGACTGATATTATCAGCATGGTCCTTGACCTTGGGGTACACTGACACGCCAACAAGAAGATAATGGAGTTTGAGCATCCATTAAGTCACCTCTTCCAATGAACATGCTTGGGACAAATTGTAACCAGGAATCCTGCTGGGTCAACACAGCCAGTGAGTGAATATTGCTTAATGTTGAGCAATGTTGCAGCTATTCACAGCTATGAGTTGATAAGGGGACAAACCCATGATTCTCAAATCCCAAGGGACACAACTCGCCAAAGCCAAGTGTGACACCTTTAACCACTGTCAAACCATCTCCAACATAATAACAATGAATGGATATTATAAACTTTATCAACACATTGGAAGATCAAAGCTGTTGTCTCGTACAATCCAGCAACAAAGAGGATAGAGAAATGTAAGAGGTGTGGACCAATCTATTCTACGGACCGGCTTCTCTACCTCCCGGTTGAATGAAGAAGAAGAAGAAGAAGAAGAAGGGTTTATTTTGTTTAAAGGCCATACGACCCATCGTACAACGTGGTACAATAGTGATTTTGGTTACCATTTTCATACAACAACGCTAACAGGAGCAGAATAAACATGTTCTAAGAACTTGACAAAATAATTTATGATGTTATTGTCGGATGATGTACATGTGCTGCGGAGTGAATAATAATATCCATGGACCGTTTTCGGAATGTAACGCCGACGCATATCCTCATAGCGTTTACAAATATAGACAATATGGATTTCATCCTCAATACTTTTACAGTGTTTACATAATACAATATCATCATTGCAGGATCTAATATATTTGATACCTAGTGCATCACACCCTGATCTAAATAATGTGAACAGACGCTTGCACTTATTACTTATGTTCAATGATAAATATTTTTCACAGGTCAACAGAGATTTATGGGACTTATAGAAGGACAGCGAAGGAAGATCTAGGGACAAATGCCACTCTTGCATAGAGTAGTTGTTAATTCTTTCAGTAAACATATATAGAAACATTTTTGTATCACCGACATCTTGTGAAATCCAAGCTGTACCAAAGCCAAGATAAAATAACAAATCACTGACATGCCGAGCCCATGTGGGACGTTTCCTGAATTCAACAGATAATAAAAAATTATAACATTGATATGGATATCTACTTTGATGCATTCTCAATAATCTTAGCCAGTATTTAATACATTTGACATAACACACATTGCTTAAGGGTGCCCTCCCACATTCCCCATATGCAACAGCATTAGATGATCTGTAACTAATCTGAAGTAAAAATTTGCAAAATTTTCGATGGACAATTTCAAAACTTTCTCTCTTTTTAAAACCCCATATCTCAGCACCATATGTTAGAATTGGTACAATCTCTTTATCAAAAATATAAAATCCTTCTGAGAGTGACATATCATATCGTCTTATAAATGACTTGATCGGCCACAGTGCCTTATTAGCTTGATCAGATAATGTTTTACATGCCCTAGTCCAAATCAATTTGGGAGTTATCATAAATCATAGATATTTATAAATATTGACAGTTTCCATTCGAATGCCATTATAGAGCCATTTTTCGTGTTTGGACAAGGGTCCACCCATTTTAAAAACAATTATTTTACTTTTATCCGTATTAATATCCATGCCCCATTTATGGGAATACATATGTAGGGCGTCAAGGCGGCGCTGTAATCTAACACCAGTATCAGCTATCAAAACCAAATCATCTGCAAATAACAGAGCAATAATATTCAACATATTTTCGGAAATAAATATACCGTCATCAAACTTATTTTCTAAGGTCAATACGAGCTCATTAATATATAAAGAAAATAATACCGGACTAAGGACACAGCCTTGCCGAACCCCACAGGTGCTATCAAAATATTCAGTTAATTTTTACCATACTCTTAGGTTACAGTGGCCTTGACATGAGTATACATATTTTTAATCAACTTGAAAAAAATTCCATGCATCCCATTTTGCAAAAGAACATACAGTAATTTAAACCTATTCACCATGTCAAAGGCCTTGCGAAAATCTATGAATGCAATATATATCTTCCCATTTTTACGTGTTAAATACTTCTGAATGATTGTCTGGAGAATAAAGATACTGTCCACAGTCGAATGATCTGTCTTAAATCCACCCTGATATTCTCCAATTATCTCAAGAAGTTGCAAAAAGTACTCCAATCTTTTGTTTAGAACCGAAACAAAAATTTTGCTCATTACATTCAGAAGAGAGATCCCCTATAATTATTCGGGTCAGATCTACTACCTTTCTTATGTAGTGGGATAATAATGCCAGTTGGCCAGGAATTTGGCCACAAGCCGGATGAGAGTATCTTGTTGAACAGGAAGACTAAATAGGAAACTATTATATGTTCAGAAACTTTAAAAAACTCTGCGGGAATACCATCATCGCCTGGGGATTTGTTACATTTTAGATGTCTGATAGCATTTATTACATCCTGATCTGTAAAGTCACATGATAGAATATCATCGTCATTGATACAATCAACACATGTATTAAAGTCATGTTTATGAACATATGATTTGGCATCTTCTGAAAAGTTGCCATCTATTGTCAACGTTGGGTTTAACAAGTCCTTAAAGTATTCAGCCCAAGTTGATGGCGTTACACTTTCTTCCATGGCACGAGTTGTGGTATATTTTTTCACAAGTCGCCAAAATGCTGAGCAGTCTCTGGAACAAGCTGCATCATGTATGTTTTGAGTAATGGAACGTTTATAACTATCTTTCTTAGTTTTACAAGTCTGTTTGAACTGAGATCTAATGTCTTTGTATCTATTCAGATTCTCAAATGTTGTTGTTTTTCTAAACACATTAAGCAGTTTATACTTTTCATGTTTAAGTCTGACACTGTTGATCAAACCATTCTGGTTGTTGTTTAGCGTTGATGGTTTTGGGTTGTCTACATTCCATATCTCGCCCACAGGTTTGCAGAATGAGCTGTAGTATATTTAATGCTTTGTCAGTGTTGACATGTAGACTCCTTATGAAGTCCTGAAACAAATCACTTGTATCAGCATTTTGCAGGTTATCAAGATATAATTGTGATTTTTCATTTTTCCATTTAAATTTATTTATGTTACTACATTGAAAATACTTATCATCGGCTGGCCTGTCCTCATCGAACAGGTATGAGATTGTGGTCGTGAGTAGGGGATGGTCAGACTCCGTCCGAGAAACACTCTTGAAGTCCCCCACATAACGGTATAACGATGCTGACACTGCAATGTAGTCCGGTGTGCTACAGCCGGTAGGACCAATATATGTATAGTCCCCCTCATCTGAGAATCTGCCATTTAACAGGTACCATCCAAAAGTTTTGCATAAGTCTAGTAATTCTCTTCCATAGTTATTTACAACAAGATCTTTATTTTTACGATTTGGGTACACAGGTGGGGCATCAAGTTCCTCGTATGTATCCTCGTCCATAGGTAGAAAATCAACACTATCATCAACAATATAGTCTAATTCAGCGCCAGTTCTGCCATTAAAATCGCCACAAATAATGAAGTCAGTATCTGGATATTCGTTTTTCATTGCCACAATGTAACTTTCCAATCGCTCAACCCCATCGTTACTGTTAGTTTTTTCCGGTGTTATATAGACACAACCCAGAATAAGCCTTTTGCCTGACCGTATACGCCGAATGGAAACAAGAAACACGGCGTCCACCCACTCCTCGTGTATACGGTGGAAAAAAGATGAAATACTGTCACCCATAAGTATACCAACGCCACCGCTGAACCGGCCGATGTTGTTTATCTTAGGGCGAACTGATTGAAATCCTGTATAACAGGCAATTTAGTTACTAAAGTCATCATAACTTTTGGCCCAGGTTTCGGTCAAACATATGATATCATATTTAGAGATAAAGTCACAAAAGTCTGGATGGATTACTTTACTATATAGGCCGTTTACATTCCAATACAATAGGCTTATTGGTTGTAGAGAATGTGATGCATCCGGAATACCCGTGGAGCACGAGCTTGATCGGGTGTCAATGTCAATGTCGATATCAGTCACAGGGTCAAGGCCAACCTGCTACAGAACACTGTGGTTTGGGTCAGCATGACTTAGCGAGTGTGGTCCTTGTATATCTCCGGCGAATTTGACTAGAGCCCCAGAACTATCCGGCAGGAACTTAACATCAACTATAACTAGAAAGTCGCTTTTGATGTATGCTGTTTTGCCTTGGTCCCTGGCTTGTTTGAGGTGGGGTGTGAGTTGTTTTCTTCTGAGTCTTGTTTTTGGAGAGAAGTCCTCAGATATTCTCAATGTTGTGTTGCCTTTCAGCTCTGCCTTAGCCTTGTTGAGGACGCTACGTTTGTCGTCTCTGGAGACGAACTTCATCATGATAGGCGGGTTCCCCCCCTGTTCACGCTTTGTACCCCATCTGTGGACAGTGTCGAAAAGAATATCATCTCCATTTTGTAGACATAATGTATCCTTCAGAAATGAATAAACTTTCCTTTTAGATTCACCAGACTCTTCCTACCGTCCTTCCATTTCCATTCCAAATAAAATCAAATTATTTCTTCTGGAGTAGTTCTCACTTTTTTCAAGTTTGGCCTCTAAAGCAGTGATAGTGTTTGCCTGAGACGTCACTATCTTCCTAAGATCTCTATTTTCGGTTTGAATTTGTTCCAGCTGATTATTTAATTTGGCATTGTTTTGGTCCACTGTATTTTTCAGGGTCGTTAGCATTTCACTCATGGACACTATCGTCTTATTCAACGCATCAAATTGGCCAGTCAGTGCTTTTATAGACTCACTCACGCTGTTGTCCGCCTCGGTGTCCGGCTGGGATCCCTTCCCCCTTGTGTTGGGGCCTGGTCCGTGCAACTCATCTCGCACGTGCACATGCTTGAAATTTCTTGACAGTAATTAAAATTGTCTGTGCTGGGTAAATTAGAGAAAATATGTTCGGGATTAACACTGTATATCAGTAGACTGTGACTCATTAGCATAATGACAGTTAACGTGACACCAACTGCGTACAGCCTGTAGGCGAGATCCATACCTGGAGTCCATGTTGTCTCCGACATGTACTTGCTAACATGTTCAATTTGTCTGTGACCCCTGGGCATCTTAAAACACACAATTCTACATCTCCAACTGTCCACGTCGATCCCCATTCTTCATTAAGCGTATTGTGCCCAAGAAAAAGGCTTGACAAAGAAAGAAAACGTATTTTTTTCTCCCGCGATGTCGTTGCCGTATCTACCTATTCAGGGGCAGGTAACCAACTCAATGGCTGTCTTACCAAAGGTCGCCTTGGGTTGCCTTTAGCCCACTCCACTATAATGCTTGAGCCACACAGTTCACGCCCATTCTCATACTTGACAGCATCCTGAAATTGGTGAACATGTGTGAGGCACTGACCTTGTCCCATCGAGCCATAACAGGGTCACAAACAGCATACAAATAACATGCCTGATTTGAGTCGACACATCCCCTTGTCTATCTCTCTATCTCCACTACCTTTAAGTCGTTTCTGCAACTAATTCCCTCACTTACTGTAGAGGCATTGCTACAACCTGTCAACCTTTCTTTAAATCATATCTTGCTGTAACAGATTGTTCTTAAAGGTTCCAGTTTGAAAATTCTCCAAATACAAGTTGAAATGTTAACAGATGTAGAATAATCTCTAGCCTAAAATCACATATCTCAAACTGTACTAAATTGTTTTTAAAGGTTCCAGTCTGAAACCTATTGTGGTAGAGTATTCCATTCCTGTCTCAGTGCGTTCTCAAGCTCATCCAGCGTCTGTGGTTGGGCAGGAAGATGTAAAAGTCGGTGCTGGAACTGGTCCCATACATGCTCTATTGGAATCAGGTCGAGTGAGAGGGCAAGCCACACCATTCGCTCGATAGTTTCCCTTTGCAGGTTCTCCTCAGCCATACGTGCACGATGAGGACGGGCGTTATCGTCCATCAGAATAAAGTCTGGTCCAACTGCACATGAAAACAACCTTACAACTGGGAGGAGAATTTCATCCCTGTGTCGGGTGGCATTTAGAGCGCAGCGTCGTATTGCTACCATGTCATTGCGACCCGCAAGAGGTGAGGTGAGGTGAGGTGAGGTGAGGTAAGGTGAGGTGAACTTGGGTTTAACGTCGTGCTTGAGAATATTTCGCTCATATGACGACGTGCATGCGTGTGTATGCGTAGGTGCGGCTGCTTGTACTAGCCCCGATTGAAGCTGGTTTTATAGTGCTAGCCCACTGAGATACCATGCCGCAGTGAAGCATGAATACCCCACTCAGACACAGTCCGAGCCGACCAGTCCTTGTTGTACCCACAAATGCCGAGCGCCAGGCAGGGACCAACAAGTACCATATTTTAGTGTCTTTTGGTATGACGCGGTCGGGGATCGACCCCGCGACTTTCCACTCTAAACGCTACACCATGGAGGCGGTCGCGACCCGCAAGGGATATCCCACCCCATATCATCACAGAGCCACACCCAAACAAGTCAAAACATTGATTACACAACAGTCTCGTTTCCTGCTGACTGGGTTCCGTCCTATTGCGCAACTTAGTACAATAACCAGTCAAGAAGTTTGAGACAAATTCATTCAGCTGGATACATAAATATTAATCAGGATTATTTGGTACATATCCAACCACTTGTATATTGCAACACTACGCTCCTTCTAATCCATGCAAACACGTCGTGCAGCCTGCCCTGTCGTACAGCGTGCTCTGACAAACGGAAATCGAGGAAATCTCAAAAGGAGGCTCTGCCGCTAGAAAGGTTTGGCTCTCTGGCACGGACTTGATATTATATCAATCACATTGTGCGTTACAGAACTACACTAAATCAGCGCAAAGAATATATAACAGGTGTAACCAGTGAGCCAGATGTGTTGTGAATCATTTTACGACCTCATCAAACTGGGGCCGTCTGTGACGTCTTAGTTTAGATCATGCTGCCTACACCTCTCCATAAAATATGGAAATACGAAGTTATTAAAGTTTAAAATTAAAATTAATTGTAAATACCAAATTTCTTATGCAACAAGGAACTGAAATTAAGTGTAACCGTAGTTGTTTGTGGTGTCTCTTTTTTTCTTTCACACGAGAAAATTCGGATCGGCTGAAAAGTAGGTCACTGTCTAAATAGGTTAATGAGACTCATGTTTCGGTTTGCGATTGTGCTCATTTACCAGACTCTGGCTGTATTGCTGTCTGGCCTCCACAAACGCCTACAGCCATCATGGAAGTCCAGACAGGACCTTTACTCATTTTTGAAAAGCACTGACTCCCAAAAATCGTCGATCCCAATCCACGTGTTGACATGCAAATTCCAAGCGTCCTTGTCGACGTGGAAGAGGTCTGGAACGCACAGCTGCCATGTAAGCCCTCAGGTGACCATCATGCTTGTGTCTGTGTTTTAAAGTCTGGGGCGCTATGTGTAGGCCTGGTGCAGCATTAAACTGTCTAGCCAGTCTTGGAGCAGGTTCGAAGCGCTGTCTCCGAGCCAATTAACGATGTAACGGTCTTGGCGTTGTGGCACGTGGTCTACCACTTCTAGGCCTGTCATTAGTTGTACCAGTCGCCTGGAATCGTCTCAACAGTCTGCTCTGGAAACGCTGTACATAGCAACATTGCGTTGCGTTTGTTGTAGCGTCTTTGTGGGGGCATGCCTTTACCAAAGTTACGTTAATTATCCGCACGTTTTATCCATACCGTGGCGCTTCCTCTCAACTTATTGTCAGTGTCACACCACAAATCAAATTTTAACATATTTTTTTCGTGCAAGTGCCAGCCGTGAACAAACATGCAGTGAACCACATTAAACTCCTTTGAGTGTCATTTAGAAGTTGATGTGATGAACCACGAGGAGAGGTCTATGGATATACAACTCCTTTAATATTAATATAAGCGACGTTACGGTGTAGCTACTAACACCGTTATCAAGCAAGCGTTATATATGGTAATTCACGTCATATTATTTTTTATTACCATCATCACACGTTTATTACTATACTATCGACAAAAAATAAGGGAACTAAGAAATTGAATGCAGCAAACGTAGAGGTGAAAGGGTGCATTACCGTAGCGTTGCACCCGAACGCAACATCCAATGCCAATGAAATTCCACATGATGCATTACCAACACGTGATGCACGTGCACACAGAAGTCAACCTCTGTCAACGTATTGGAGAACTCACAATCACTAATGCAAGAGAGTTCAACACATGCTGAAAAATGCCTCCGAGGCAGTATCTCAATGAACAAACAAAATGGAGAATTGTGGGGATGATAGAGGGGGGGGGGGGAGGGCATCATTGTGTCAAGTTGCCCGAATATTGGGTAAATCAAAAATTGTAATTGCACGCCTGTGGGACAAGTACAGTCAAACAGGTGGGGTTGCAATGAGACCTGGGGGTGGTAGACAAAAATCAACGACACCACGACAGGATCGTCTCATTACATTAATGGCCCTACGCAATAGGTTCCAATCAGCACCGGCCATCAATAGGGAATTCCGTACACTCACTGGGCGACGAATTTCACACTCAACCGTTAAAAACCGGCTCTATCAAGCACGTCTGAAAGCAAGGCGGCCTTTCAAGGGTGTTACCCTTACAGCTCACCATAGGCGCGTGCAGCTCTTCAGGAGGAATGGCGGGCAATACCACGGGCAACCATCCGGAAATTAATCAACAGTATGCCATCAAGGTGTCGTGAATGTGTTGCCAAACATGGCGGACACACCAGATATTGAACTTTACGCCCACATTTGATTTAGTGGACATTCAGAGCAATTTCACATTCACTGTCATTTCATCAGTTCCCTTATTTTTTGTCGGTAGTATAATAATAATCCGCCATCGGTGGTACATGAGTATAACAAAGGAGTACCTACGATATGCAGAACAAGATGACTAAATGATACATCAATTAAAGTGTTTACAAACAAACTTAATGAACTTGGATACATTTTAAGGGTAGATATTTTACTTGAAAAAAGTTGACGGAACTTTGACAAATTTGGCCAGGAACGATAAAGTTCTTTTAACAAAGATTTACGTATGTCTGCAAATTAATTACATTTAAACTTATAGTGAAACTCATCTCCAATCAAATCTGAGTCACATATGTTACAAAATCTTTGTTCTTTTGGAGTATTTTGCCATCTCGCAGTTTCTATGGGAAGTTTATGGTTGCATTTTTCCAACATTTCAATGATCCCTAGTTTATTTTCTCCAGTATATATAGATAAAACAAGCTTACACAACGCAAGGTGGGAGACTGTACAAAGACACAATATAAACAGGTAGCCAATTAGACAGGATTAATGTACAAGGATAACAATGTAAGCATGAAGTTAATGAGACTAACGGTATAACAATGTAAGACGAAGCCGATGAAAACAGCACAATAGAGTATACACTGGGAAGGTAAATTCTTGGGTTAATGGCTGGCTTATTATAAAATCCCGCCGCGCGTATAGCGCGAAACGGGGGATATAGTATTAGGCTACGTCCGTCCGTACGTACGTACGGATTGAAATATCTTAAGAATCGTTGACTAGATTCTTTTCACATTTGGTACCTAGGTTCATCACAGTATAAGACAGGTCCCAGTCAGGTTTGGTGACCTTGACCTTCATTTGCAGGTCACAAAGGGACTATAACGTTTTACCCTTGTCAGCGAGATATCTCAAGAACCGTTCTCTAGATTATCTTCATATTCAACACCAAGCTTTATCTGGAATTTAACTATGGAATCCTAGAAGGGACATTGTCGCTATGTCGCATTGTCGCGTTGTCAAAAACAAGTTGAAAGTGAGGCAAAATAAACCAAAACGCGACACGCGACATCGCGACAACGCGACATTTCGCCCATTTGTCGCATTGTCGCGATGTCGCATTGTCGCGTTGTCGCGTTTTGAATAATATTTTTTGTATTCCTCCAAAGGGAATAATACATTCGCGACATAGCGACAATTTTCAAGGTCAAAATATGTCGCGTTGTCGCGCGTCGCCCTATCTAAGATGTGTAAAAAGAAGCCTAAAATTAACTAAAACGCGACACGCGACAATGCGACATTTTATATGTCGCATTGTCGCGTCGCGTTTTCGCCCTTTCGATTACCGGTGCGCATGCGTAGAAAGTCAATGAGTCTACGCATGCGCGGAAAATTTATACTCTATTACACATTTCAGTGGTCTTTTGTTACCTCCAATGGTTTTTACAATGAAGTAGTACGCGTAATGACAATGGGGGCTGCTTTTCTTGAACTTAATGGAAATCTTTCATTGTTGCTTTGAAAATTATTGTATATATTGTAAATGTATTTGGCCAATCAAGTGTGTTTTAGCATCAAGACAAATTATTAGCGCTACTATTCATTGTAATCACGGC